AAGCAGCATATAAAGTAATTTTTTATTGATAAATTTGCTAGATAATAAAATAAAGTTTAAAAATTCGCTAATAAGAAAAAAATAAATTTATAATAATTTGTAAAACATACTATAAAGAAACTAATTTATTATTCTTATTTACTAATCGTAATATGTTAATGCTAATAAAAATGATAAAAAATTTATATATAACTTTTAAAAAAGAAAAAAAACTGTAATTTATAATCTTATTTGACCTTATTAGCAGCATTAATTTGTATCTTACGTATTAAAATATAATTAGGTCAAATTATAATTATTGGGAATAGAATTTTGTGACATACTTTTAAGAAAAACTGACGCATCTAAAGTATTATTAAACAAAGTTGTCAAATTCCATTTAGCAAGTAAATCATCAGCCAGATGTATAGTAAAATCAACAAATTTAAAATTTAGTGGTTCTTCTTGAATAGATTCTCCATCTGTTAAATAGTTTTTACTATTTAACATATCTGTCCAATCCATAATAACACTATCCCATTGCTCAGTAGTTAAAATTTCACTTGAAGAATCTGTATTCAACTCGCTTATCATTTCAGTATTTTCTTGAAGAAGAATATTAGAAGTAGTTTGAGTAAAATTAGTAGTAGATGAAGCTAAATCAATTGCTTCAGTTTGATTATTATTAACAGAGGTATCAGAAAGTACTATTGTTGGCTCTTGATTACTGTTTGAATTTTGTTGCTGTTTTTCTAATTGTTCAACACTATTTTTAGTTTGGTTTCTTAATATTTTTCCACATAGCTATAACATAGCCAAAACCTTATCAGACTAATTAAAATAAAGTTTTAATTATTTATTCGCATACATTAAAAATATATATATATATATATATATATATATATATATAGTATATATATATATATATAATTTACATTAAAATAGTTTCGTCTATTTGAATAAAGAAATCCCATACTGAACCAAAGACGTTCAACTGATGCAGCATTAATATATATACCAAATAAGTGTAATGCTAAATGTGATAATTCTGGTGCTTGACTCTGAGCTGCCTCCCAAAAGTCAATCATATTTCCTTTAAATTGTTTTACTGATTCTTTATTAAAAGGATATACTTCACGTTGATAACTAAGATATTCTCTTAAAATCTGTTCTGAAGCTTTTTCAAACCAAGCTTGATAATAATAATTAATCCAATTACCAAAATGTATATATATTAAATTTGAGTTATTTGAGTTAAATTTAAAAATTCGATATGAAGGATGTAAAACAAATAATAAAAGTAAAAGTGGCTGTTCATATTGAGACCAACGTCTTTCAAGTCGTACTATCATTTGTTCTGAAAATCTTCATCATTAATAAGAGAAAATATTTTTGTAATCCAGCCAAAGCAATGAACTACTTCATAAAGTCTTGCTCCATCTTTTTGTAATTTATTTAAAGCAACACAAAGAGGTAATAAAAGTTCTTGAAGTTCATATAAATTTGACCAAAAAGAAATATTATTAACTATTGCAATTATATCTGATAGGAGCATTTAGTAGTCACTATTAGTAGAAGCAAAACGTTGACAAGTAATTCTACTTCTTGAATTAGTTGATGTTCCAATTATTTCAGATGTAAATTTGCTGACTAATATCTTAATTTTTTTAAAATAAAATTTTATTTAATAAATTTATTTAAAATAAAAAAATAAAATTTTTGCCTTTAATACTGCTTCAGTTTTAAAAATATTATGAAAGCAAAAATAAAAACTATTCCATTGTGTTTCTCCAGGTGTTACTAATGCTATAAATTTTTTATATCGTAATTTTTGCTTATTTCGTAATTTACTCATAAAATAAGATGATGAATGAAAATATCCAACTAATCAAATAGCATTAGAGGAGGTTTGTTTATAATTATTTGATAATTTAAATATTTCAGCAACTATTAAATTCATTTGGTAAACTATATATGGAAGAAAAACTTTGTTGCGATATTCAATACGCATTTGTCTTCTAAAAAATTAATATTAAATTAGCTTTAATTAAAACAACTTAAAAAATAATATAATACTTTCCTTGCTGCTGCATATTCTCTAGCCGAATCTGATACAAAACAATTAATTTTGATATTATTTGTTGTAGATTCTTCTATAATAGTTTTTATATAAGAAATAATATCTTTAGTTTTAGATCGGTTTTCACTTATATCATAAGCTTTCTAAATTAATGGTTCTCTTTGTGAAGTTATAAGTACTATACCAAATAAATGTTCTTGCTTAACATTTGTTCATCCATCAAATGTTGCTGTTAATCCTACTTTATTTTTTTGTGCATATGTAATAATAGATTCATATAATTGCTAGTTTGATTTCAATAAAATTCAATTACTTAAAGCATGTCGGCCAGGTAATTTATAAGAAGGTAGTATAAATTGAAATAAATTCTTAGTTTCTTGATTTTCTACAAATGAAAATACTAATCCATTTGATACAACTATTCTTAGTAACAAATTTTCAAAATGTAATTTCTCATTTTCAGTCATTAATCGAGCAAAATAATTGTCAAGAGGTGAATTTTTTTTTTATAGTAGTATTAGATAATTTAAGCCTTTTTGATATTCCTGTTTCATAGTTACTTTCTGAACTACTACTATTATCTGAAGTATCTTCTTTATCTTCAGAAATCAGTAAAGCAAATATTCAGGCCTGTTCTTCAATAGGATATAATGCTTTAAAATTTTCACATTTTTGTAAATGCGCATAGCATAATTTAGCTTTATTTGTAACCAAACATAAAGAATTATTAATTGCAACAGAGTAGGTTAATTTTTTTTCACAGCTTATACACAAGGCCTTTTTGTTGGCATTTTTACTTATACTTATATTAAGTAATTTAAAATATTTTCGAAAATTATATGGTTTTTTCCCTATATTTTTTAATTTTTAAAAATTAAGAACTTTGCAATAAAACTTTATCTTATCGTTATTTAAATTAATCACAAATTTGAATATTAAGAAAACTTGTAATTAATAAATTTAGATTTTCATTTATTTATAATATATATAATTCTGATTTTGTATTTTGTCAAGTACATATTGAATTTTTAAAGAAATAAATCGTGTTAAAACAGGTATAAATTATTTTTTTAAAACTTAATTAATTATATATAAATAATAACAGCTCAAAATTTCTTATTTAAGTGCTACAAAAAATAACCTGTAAGTAAATACTTAAAATATCACTATGACGAACTTAATTCTATTATATATTAGATCAAATATATAATCAGTATTGTTATTTAAGTAAATGATAAACATGATATAATTTTCTTAGGAGTTAAGTTCGCTATAATGATAAATATATATTTACTTAAATTTTCTCATTACAGCACTCATATATACAGTACTGGCAACAAAAAACATTTTTTCAAAAGCACCAATTTTGAGATTATGTAATCAAATTTGATTGGCTAATTTTTGCAAAATGAATTCCAATTAATGAAAAATATATATATATACGATTTTTTTAAATGACCTAAATGACTTTTAAATGACTTATATGTTTTAAGGTCATTTAAAATTATTCAAATGATCAGGTTATTTAACATCACTGTTATATAGCACCTGATAATCCTCTGACCTCCTTCCTCCTAAAAAAATCAGGTGATAAATGTCTATACCCTAATCTTAAAGTAAGATTATTATGTTGTGTATTTTCTATTTTATATATTTTAAAAATTCTACTACTACTTAATTTTTCTTGTGATCTTTTATAGTTATCCTAATTCATTTTTCCTCCTTCATTTCCTTATTTTCTACTGATAGTCTGCTCTGGCACTTTAGTCTTTTATTTTATCTCTTCTTTTTGTATTTTTTCAGTTCTTGATATTTGCCTTGCTCTTCTTGCTCTTGATAGTATTTTTTATATAGGTTTTCTTTATAAATATTTGTCTGTAGCTCTTTTTTTCTTCTAGTTTCTTCTATGCTACTTTAAATTTTTCTACTTCTAGATCTTGGTTAGTTTGTTTGAGTCTTCCTTTACTTTTTTGTCAGAATTTTGTGCTTTCTTTTTTTTTTTTACTCCATAGTCTTACATTTTTTCTAATAAGTATCTTTTGAGATCTTGTATACTTCTCTTGCTTTTTGGACTTTCTAAAAACCTTTCTACTGTTTTAGATATGAAGTTTTTTTTTTCTTCTTCCAATTCTTAACTGTTCAGAACTGTGTGTCAGCTTTCTCTATAAGCATGCTTTTCTTCTGTATAGCTTCTTTTACAATTTAAAGTACTTCTCTTGATTTCTAGCTACTTTTCTTATAATTCTTCTTGCTATTCTAAACCTGGTGTCTTTTTTTTTCTTTTTTCAATTCTTGACTTCTATTGTTCTCCTTGTTGCTGCATCTTATATAATATTTTCTTCATTTGTACTAGTGTTTGTTAATGACCTAATTCATTTACTTCATTCATCCAAAGTTTCTTTTTTCTTTTTTTTTTAATCTTTAATATTATCTTGCCTACTTTTTAAGTTTATTTAATATATAAACTCTATTATCCACTTTAGTAATTTCCTTTGTGATTTTTTGAATTGTATATTGCTAGAATTTTCCTCTTCTATTAAGATTGTTGTCAAAATTCTTAGTCTTGATTCTTTAGTTAGTTTGTTTAAAGTTTTTTTCTCTGTAAGGCCTTCAATGTCTCTTTCTATATTTCTTTTCTTTAATATTTCTTCTTTTTCTTTGGATTCTTTATGTTTTTGTTTCTGTAGCTTTGTTTTTTGTTGAATTTGCATCTTCTTTATTTCTTTTCTAATTGTATTTTTTCTTTTTTCTTTGTGTTATTTTATTTCTATTAATTCTACTGATTCTCTAAAATGCTATAATAATAGACCTAAAGTTATTTTGTTATGCTGTCTTTGTCAGCACTTTCTCTGTTTATCTAATCTTTTCATCTATCTTGTATCTATTTTAGCCTTTACATACTCAGCGGTCATTCTTTCTTTATTATATGCAAACAGTTTTTCTCTTTCTGCTGTACATAGATTTTTTATAGTACTAGTTACTTCATCTAGTAGAATATATTCTGTTGGATCGATTTCTAACTATATCAGCTCTTGATATACTGTATTATTTCTTTTCTTGAGTACAAGTTCTGTATGTTTAATTTTTTCTACTCTATATTATCTCAATTCTATATGTATTGCTACTATTCATTCCTCTGCTTGTTCTGCTATTGTAGGTTTTGTTTCAGCATTTTTTATTGTTTCTTGCTTCACGTGACTATTTTGTTGATATATTTGTATATCTCCTTTGTTTTCATCTGTCACGTATTTTTTAATATGTTTTCTTTGTTTATTCTTCATTACATGTTATGTATCTTGTATAATCGTAACTAATCTACATTATATGGTCAAGGCCAATCTCTCAAACAACTTGTAAAAGACAAAATTATTAAAGATTTTTTAAGTTTTTCTACTATATATTTGCTGCTTTTGCTTTATTTACTCAAGTTTCTTAAGAAACTGAGTATTATTTTTAATCTTCTTGCTTTTCTTTAGAGCTGCAAGTCTTGTTTTTTTTTTTTCAGTATGTCCTGTCACTGTTTTATTAAGATGATAATCAAGTAAAATTACAAGAATTTAACTATAGCTAATCTTTCTTTAACTGCAACAAGTGACTCACTCAGCTAAAGCCCAGGTATGACATCGCCTAGTGGCTGTTTGCCTCCTTCTGGGACTCTAACTTTCTAGAGGCATGAATTCTTTGATCATTGGCCGGTGCCACACGCCTATCAGTATCATCTTTTCTATGAATTACAGACATAAAACAAAGGGCAAAGAAAAAAGGTGTGATACCTCGGCATCCAGATTCGATCCACCTAAATAAATAAAACTAAAAAAAACATATAAAAGAAAAACAAAATAAAAGAAAAGAAAACAAAGATAGCACTATTAAACCCGTGCTGGATTGTAAAAATTATATAGACTACTAAATAATCTAGTCTAAACTCTACGCTAGTTACTTATTGTCTATATTAAGATATATAAAATATCTATTCTTGAGTAGAGGCCAAGTCCAAAATTTCTCTTGCAGTCACACCGAGTTCGGTGTAGTATCCTGCAACGTATTCTCGTGCTAGTACTTGTTTCTGGGCAAAGTTAAGCGATCTACGCTTTTCCAGCTTCTGTAGATCTCAGTGTAAACATTGTAACCTTTTGAGGTAACCGATGCAACGCTATTATCCAAAAGTAGACACGTACTCCTGTATATGACTTTTCTTTTTCAGCAGTGATTGTTGTTGTCAATCAATCAATGGAGGTATGCCGTTTTTCCCACTTTTTGGTGAAAATTTCGAAAAGTCCAAGAGTGGAGTTTGGTAAAGGGTTTCGGTTTGCAGGTATCCTTAAACTTCGGTAGTGAGTGTGTTGAAAACTCGCTTGTTGTTCTCCTTAGACCAACTATCTTTAACTTTGTTAGCAGAAGCAGAGCTTCTATTAAAATTTTCTGTACAAGGGCACCAACACCTTCTTGCCAGTTATCTTGTACAGGAACGCTTTTAACTTGCATGCTGAATATATAGAGGAGTCCGGAAGAAAAAAGAAAACCTTGACCTCTTTAAAAACTGTTATTTGTAGTTGTCTCTTCTACTTTTCTCCAACAGGTTTCTGTTTTCGTTTGCCATAAGTTTGGTACGAGTGATCGTCAGGGAGAGTTGACTGTAATTTTATAAGCTGCAAGTCTTGTTTCCTATAGCTGTTTGTATTGTTACAGCAGTACTTTTAAAAGAAGGGTTTAAGAAGAGCAAAAGAGAAAGTTTAAGCAGAAGAATTTATTTACTTGTTTAGAGACAATAAAGATATTACAAGGTCATTAGAACAAAGAGAATATTATAGAAATATTTAGAGAACAATATTCCAAAAAGTATTTAATAGTTTTTATTCATTATCTACTCTAATATTTTTTATCTAAAATATCTGTTGTCTGTAGGTTATTGTCTGTTGGGGTAAGGAGGAAAAGCCTTCTTTTAAATAACTATTAGGTTGATATACAGTAGTATACAATCATGTGGGATATACTGGCATACACTAGCATACAACCATGTATATTGTACTAAGATATACTATTATATAACTATGTAGCAAGTGGTATACACTGGTATACAACCATGTGGCAGGTGGTATACACTGACATACAGTACAACCATATAGCAAGTGGCATACACTGGTATATAGCACACAGTGGCATACGGCACACAGTGACATATGGCACATAGTGGCATACAGCATATAGTGACATACTGTACACAGTGGCATACAGCACACACTGGTATATACTTCAATATTCTAACTATTCTAAATATAATATAAATTCTAATACAATACAAATTTAACAAGAATTATATCTAAAATATAAACTATAAATTATAAAGTATTATTCTACAAAACTATTAGTATAATATTATAAAGTTACTCTATAACAGCTTCTTTCGCTTTTAGAAATTTGCTCCACAAATTTAATTTCTAAAATAATCTATAGTATTACATACCAATATCCAGAAAGTAATCACATGCCAAAAATTTAATTAAGTGTTCTGCACAAAATTGTGTTACTGTTTGATTTTTCTTGTATTTCCTCCTTTTAAAAATAGCAGATGTCCCATGAGCTTATCAGGTTAACAATTGTTTCCTGTTTCCTTGTGCTGAGTTTTCTTATTGGGTAATCAATTTTTCTACATCATTCTAATTTGTTCTATTTTATTCGATATTATTCTGTTTCTTTGTTAATGATTTCTTTGTTCTATTTTTATTGCTACTAATTAATAATCATTTGGTATCTGTTAATTGTTACATTTAGTTGTTTATTGACTTCCTCT